CTCCCTGAACACAAGACCAAGTTGAGACAACGGGGTCAACCCACTTTTATAAATCGAAAGGAGACTGCGACCATAACAGAGGCTACAACATCTTGGTCTTCATATATTCACTTATCATTTACTATTGCTTAAACATTTCATTTCATAGCCTACCAATCTAATTGTGAGGAAAACTAAACAATTATTACTTGAATTGCCTTAGGCGACCTAGGGTAACTAAGTTATTAGTTAAACTTATGGTCAGTAAAATGATGTTAAAAAAGATATTGGTGTTTGATAGATCCGTGAAAGCCACTAGAATATATATGGTAAATTGACAGAATAACAGATAATGACTACCATACTAAAATAGTAATGCTAAACCAAAAAAAGTTGATAGCAACAAGGAGTGCGTCGAATTTGATCTCCATACTGTATGGAAATGAAAGTGGACTCATTTAAACATACAAATAATAATTACAGAAGTAAATGAATCAGAATCTTATTGCTATCTACATTCATTGTAGAGTAAGCAGGGCGATTTATACAGGGAATGTCTGAGCATGATACAAATTGCAATTCAACTATAAAATGTAATAATATAATTATTTATTTGAATTAAGAATACCTATTTTCAAACGAATTTTTAATTAAAATCGGATTGCATTTTCTTATAACCTGACGACACTTGAGGATTTAAAGGATAAATTTCATCAACATTTTCCAATTTTACGATACAAACTCTGCATAAACATAGGTTTCTCATTATATACGATGGTGAGATCGTAAATAAGCTCATAAGGTAATTTCTGGAATTGGATGATTACTAATCAATTTGTTTTAGTTATCAAGTAATTTTTGCATGAAAAAAGCACGAGCTTGGAAAAGACCACGAGAAAGAATGAGATGATCGATCAGCTACAATTGTTCTAGGATTTAAATAATGACATAAGCATTATGAATTAAATAAAACCTCATTAGAAATTTGGGTAGCACGCATCATTATTCATTTAAATATTAAACCTGAATACTAGTCATGCATAACAATCTTATAGGATAGGACCATTCAATGCCATATTAAACAGTCAATAAAAGAGAATTTTATATTAGTATTTCGATGTAGTTAAGTATCTGAATTACTGACTTTCCTTAAAACTAGCTTAGGAAAATTAATCCTATATTGATGAGTTAGCCTACTATACACACTCAAATTCATTTAAAGTATGCCCCATTTGAGATTCAGATTAAATAAGGAGTTAATATATAATCTATTTACTTAGTTTTTAATATGAAACTAACTAACCGAGCAGTTAAATATATCTGCCTAAGTGTAACAGGTGATGGCTGTATGGAGTTAACTCAGAATATATCATTAATTTTATTCGGTTGCAAAATACTATGGCCTTTGCTAAATTTTCCTAGCCTGATACTCACTATCTTTAATTACCTAACCTTTGATTAATAGCGTAACAAGAAATACGAATAAATTAGACCTACGCAAGAAAAATGGTGGCATTCGCAATTGAATTCGCCCACTGTTCTGTAAATTTGGCTAGTTTATTCGAAAATTTGGAGATATTCTATGCATCAAAATGAGACGAATATGTTTCGATTTAGTACGCCATGGAAAGCAATAATTCGATAGCATCTATTTCTTTTCAGCCTTTTCGTTTTTCCTTCAACACTATGCTTTCCATCTCACAATCATTTAGAAGAGGATCAGCAGTTCAGTCAAGCTGCCAGCCTATGCAAACTTGCGTAGGTGATTTCGTTATATGTGTCTGAGTTTCTTCTTCTCTGTGCGTCCTAAAATACATTCCAATTGGCTTTGTAGCACCAAAATGATCGCCTCTGTTGTCACCAGTAGTTTGATTAACTTGAACGAGATTATTAATGATTGGATTTCGCCCAGACTTTCCAACACCAATATCACCATCTCCTATATCCTTCATATTGCTAACCTGACCATACAGACAAATTTCATTGTCATCAAGCTCCGCAGCGACAATAGCTTCAAGTGGGCAGTGAGAGGATCGATTGAGAGCAGAACACGAAACGAAGTTTACGGATCTTGTGATCATCACCGAAGATGGTGCTGCATATACTTCTGGCGCCGATGAACTCTGCCTCCATGCTTTAGCTTGAATGCGTTTGGAGGCATGTTGGTGAATAAGGTTAAGTGACGTTTGAGCCTCCAAGTCAAAAGTATCTGTTGAGGCCTGGCTAAGGAAGAAATAACGTAGTAAGAAAAGTATAGATGAAGTAATAAAACCTTTAATAAATGAGCAGCAATCCTTTTACTAAATATGCACACGTTAATCACACTGTATGGTAAAATCTTGGTCAATATTTGCTTTGATGATTTTAGATGGTAAAATAAGAGAACATATACTTATACATGTATATATATATATATATATATATATATATATATA